TTTATCCTCTGTGCTGCTGACATCCACCTTCTGACATCCACCTTCGGCACGTGCTGGTGCCTGAGAGTCACCACGCTCTCCCACTCACTAGCTCTGTGACGTTGGGCAAGTTACTTAACTTCTCTGGGCCTCCACATCCTGCTCTAAAATGAGAATGGACAGTCCTTACCTTATGGGTTGTTACAGGTTAAATGACATCTGGCACGTTAACAGTCCCTGTTGCACACTAATGCATTCAGTATACGACTGATATGTGATCTGTCACCACCCCGAGGGTTGCATATAATGCCGCACAGTTATTATATTAAGCCTTGACTGCTACAGAGTGTTTTCTAACCTGTCCGCACTTCCCACCGATTTTTCATGCGAGCAGGATTCCCCAAGACCCGCTTTCAGCCGCCCGCTACCCGAGGACAGAGCGGGCGGGAGGGGCGCTGTGCGCACGGCTGGGGTCAGGGACAGGGCGCGCGGTGCTCGGCGCACGGCCCGCACTGGCACCCGGCACTCCGTGTCCCGCCGCTGCACTCAGCCCCTTCCGCGCCAAGGTGGCCCGGGGTGCACGTAGCGCGGCTTCTGGGAACTGGCGCCCGGCGGCCCGTGCGCACAGCCCGGAGTGCCGAGTGGAGCGGCGAGTGACTCAGCGGGGGCGTGCGCAGGCTGCGCCCGGCAGGGGCGGGACTTTTGCACTCGCCCCGGCCCTTTCCGGGTATAAAGGCAGCTGGCCGCGCGCTGGGCTCCACCACGCCTCCCGGAGCTCCTGAATCTCCCGCAACTCCAGCAACTCCAGCTCCTCCAGCAACTCCAGCTCCTCCAGCTCCTCCAGCTCCTCCAGCTCCTCCAGCTCCTCCAGCTCCTCCAGCTCCTCCAGCTCCTCCAGCTCGCCATGGATCCCAACTGCTCTTGCGCCACCGGTAATATGCCTGGTCTGGGGCTGGGGAGATTGCAGAGCTAGATTCCTGACCCCTCTTTCTCTTATCACTCAATTTCAGGGTCTGGTGGCCCCTTCCCAAAGCATGTTAGTGTGTCTTTCTCTGCATCCGAAGTCATGCGGAGCCCCCGCTTTACCGATATGGAGATCTGAGTTAATGGGCTTGCCCAAGTTTCCAGGAGTTGGTTGTGGGACAGAGGCACTTGGACCCGGGCTCCTAGCATGCAGTCCCGCGTTCAGACGTGCAGGGACCCTTCTCATCTCCGTCTTTCTCCTTACAGGCGAATCCTGCACCTGCGCCGGCTCCTGCAAATGCAAAGAGTGCAAATGCACCTCCTGCAAGAAGAGTGAGTGGAGTCCCTTCTTCCCTCTACCCCCTCACTGCCCTCCAGCCTGTCCCCAGCCTCTACACCACCCTCAGGGGAATTGAAGCGGGCTGGAGATTCCCCATCTCATCCTCGGCGTCTGTTAGGCGATCCCTATTGGGGGGGGGGGCAGGAATCCTTATTCCCTGTGTCCCTTGTGCTCATCTTTGCCGCCTCTTCTCCCTCCCCAGGCTGCTGCTCCTGCTGCCCCGCGGGCTGCGCCAAGTGCGCCCAGGGCTGCGTCTGCAAAGGGGCATCGAACAAGTGCAGCTGCTGCGCCTGATGCCAGGGGATCCCAGCTTCCAGATGTAAATAGAGCCACCTGTACAAACTGGATTTTTTTTTTCATATTGCCTTGACCCGTTTGCTACATTCCTTTTTCTATGAAACATGTGAATGACAATAAAACACTTTCGACTTGATTCTGACTCTGGTTGTCTTTGTGTGCCTTGGAAATAAGGGACTGGGGTGGGGACTGAACTGGGAGGGCAGACACCTGGGCCCTGGATGGGAATGTCAGCCCCTAACAATCTGAGTGCCTTCAGGCAGGCCAGGTGACCTCCCTGAGCTTCATCTTCTAGCCAATGAAAAGGCATTGTGCCAGGTCATGGGGTGGGAGCAGGAGATAACAGGATCTGCTCTGTTCCCGTGTCAACGGTTGATGGCACAGAAATTTCCCCATCCCTCATTTTCATTCTCTGATTTCCCTGCCCAACTGTAGTTCCTCAGATTTGAGGCTTGAAAGTGACTACAGGGGGTAGAAACCAACTAACCAGTTGCTAGGTTCTCGTTTGGGGCTTCTCAAACTCCCATGAATGTGGTAAATGACTAATTTCTATCAGTCACAGACCTAAACTCTGGAAAAATGAGTTAATGAGAAAATGAAATTTAAGAAGACACAAAATACAAAACCCAGCTTTTTAGATTCAACAGAAAAATTTCAATAAATATATAGAGAACAAAATAATATAAAAAAATAAAAGAATTGCAAACACTGCATATTTGTTCAAGGATGTGCACTGCAGACTGGACACAGCAGACTGGCCCCGGCGTGTGGCCCACACATCTTGAGCAGCACTGGCCAGGGCGTGCCCACAAGGAACCATCAGTCTTAAGCTGCCCAGTGCCACTCACAGGACACTCGCTGACCCCTCAGAGCTCCCTCTTGTGACTTAGCTCTGAATCACTGCAAGTTCCTCCCAAGGTCAGGCTGAATTTTGTCCTCCCTCGAAGTCCAGCCCTTGGCGACTTCAGACCAGCAGAGGGACTGGGGGTTTGGAGGAAATTGCCCAGCATTTTCCTGGCAAGATGAAACATACATGATCACTGGTTCCAGATGAAGTGCTTCATGTCAGCCCATGCCAGGTGATGGCAGGTTCTGCAGTTTGGAGGGTGTGGCGGTGCTCATTAGGAAGGAGTGAGGCCCTGGTGACTTGTAATTAAAGCCAACGGTTGGTCCCCTTGGCTACTTGTTGAAGGAGTGCTATTTGATGTTCAATCAAAGAGAAAGATGAGTATCTTGGCCCAGGAATCACGAACACACTTGCCCGGAGGTGCCCTTCGGAAAGAAGTCGGTCTGTGTGAAGGGCATGGGTTCTGGGCTCGGGCAGTCCTGGTTCACTGCTCACTTCACTTCTCGCTGCATGGCCCGGGCAAGTCACCGAAACTCTCTGAGCCTCCCTTGCCTCATTTGCAGAAAGAAAGATTGTATCTCTATGCAGGGATTAGATGAGAGTGGGGTGACTGCACTAGGACTTAACAAACAATGACCATTATGATCACTCTACCTATGCGGATTCTCTTGGAGAGAGACTCTGTCTCAACAAGCTCCTGGGAGAAAACCTGGGAAGAATTGCTGTGGGTTGGAGGCTGGGAGGGGAGTGAAGCCTTGCTGATGGTGTAGCAGGGGGAGTATGCACAAAGTCCTGCACAAAGTCCTCTGGAATCAAAATGCTGCCATAGCATTTGAACAAACAAAAGCCTTTCCGATTATTCGTACATCTGAACTTCATATCACCCAGAGAGAGAGCGAACATACAGGGACTAAAGTGATGGTGTCCTCTTCCAGGGTGGTTAAGCAACCTGCTCAAGGTCACATGGCTCAGAAGTCGGAGGGCTGAATCTGGGTTACAGCGGGCCTCTCACCCTGGCCACATCTGCCAGATCATGACGGCGCTGGATGCCAAACCCCGCCTCTTAGAGTTCAGAGCTGGGAGGGCCCTTGGTTAGGTAGCCCGATTGTGCCCCTGGCTTGATGGCTGGGAAACTGAAGCCCAGAGAGGTCACAGCGCTGTGCAGCGGGCTCTGACAGCCAGCTCAGTGCTCTTCCCATTCTGCCTCTGTGCCAGATTTTCAGTGTCCCTGTCCTTTACCTGACATGGTTGCATAGAGTAATGGTTGAGGGCATGATGCTGCAGCCTGCATGAGGGCATGAGGGCACATCCCAGCTGTGTCACTTATACTTGTGTGACACAAGGTCTCTGTGGCTCAGTCTCCTCCACCATAAAAGGGGCCTAATAGGTTCTGGCTTATAGGAGGAAATGAGTTACTGCATATAAAGAACTTAGAATGGGGCCTGGCAAGTGATGAGTAGTCTATAATATTAGCTATGATTTTATTATCTTTATTCATAGCATAGGGACATTTTTCTACCTCCAGATCAATTAGCCAGTCCTGTTGTGCCTGTGTGTCTTCTATTGTCCTCATCAACTACCTGAGCATGTTAACTGTGGTCCAGAGAGAGTCATTCCCTCTTCCCACAAAATAGTGATCACCACGGGATATATAAAACCATGAGCAAGACAGTCCACGCCCTCATGGCACACACAGACAGATGCCTTCCGTTTCTGCTACTGCATATACCAGTATTTTACTTAACACATTTCCTGTAAATGATTCATATTGATATTTTCCCAAATATACATGCATTACGCATGGTTCCCCAGAGAAATAGAACCCATAAAAATGTATGTAGATAGATGGAAAGAGAGATTTATTTTAAGAAATTGGCTCATGTATTTGTGGGGGCTGGCTGGTCTGAAATTTGTAAGGCTGGCCCACAGCCCGGATTTCTGTCCAGAGTTAATATTGTGGTCTTTAATCTGAAGGCAGTCTGGAGGTAGAATTCCTTCGTCTTTTAGGAAGGCAGTCTTTTCTCTTAAGGCCTTCAACTGATTGGATGAGGCCCACCCGCCACATGAAGAGTAATCTGCTTTACTCAAAATCCACTGATTTAAATGGTAATCACATTTAAAAAATACCTTCAAGGCAACATCTATACTGGTGTTTGACCAAGTGACTGGGTACTATAACCTAGCTAAGACGACACAGAAAACTAACCATCACAGTCTACCTCTTATTAATATGGTACAGATACACATCTCCTTAAACTGTATTTAATGCCCAGATAAAGGCAAAAACAAGGTCATACTTCCACGTAACATGTTACAACTATCCTAAGTAAAGCTGAACATATACTATTCCTGTCCCCAGAAGAGGTTGCAAAGTCCTTGGAGGATGTTCCTTGATGTCCTATAACTTTATTTAATACTATGATATAAAGCTAGCAATACTTAAATACAATGATTAATACTTAAATATTTAATACTTAAATACAGTAAAGTTATCATCTTTGTAAGATGATATGGAATAAGAAAGGGAAGAAAATAAAGACGTTTTCCATGCACACATAGATTTATAAGAAAATAATGAAGAAATATAACAATTACATGCCTCCTTCCTATTCCTGTAACTGGTCATGTGGTCATAGCTGGTATTTATAACTTTCTTCTTCCACTACCTATTCGGTATTCCCTCTGCGCTCAGCAAGCACCTCGGCTAATCATGGTTCTTTACCTCGCAGAGTGAATCAAACCTTCATTCCTGAAGGGTCTGGCCCATTAGTAGTCTTGCCTGAATTGGATGTTAAAGTCTTCTATTGACTTCAATCACAGGACAAGGTAGTATTAGGAGACACCCCAGGGCTGCGGTCCCCAAGCCCCAGGCCACAGTTGGGTACTGGTCTGTGCCCTGTTAGGAACTGGGCCACACAGCAGAAGGTGAGCAGCTGTGAGCGAAGCTTCATCTGTATTTACAGCCGCTCCCCATTGCTCGCATCACCGCCTGAGCTCCACCACCTGTCAGGTCAGCGGTGGGATGAGTTCGAGGAAAGCAAGCTCAGGGCTTCCCACTGATTCTGCATTATGGTGAGTTGTATAATTATTTCATTTATATTACAATGTAATAAAAATAGAAATAAAATGCACAATAAATGTCATGTGCTTGAATCATCCCCACCCATCCGTGGAAAAATTGTCTTCCATGAAACCAGTCCCTGGTGCCAAAAGGGTCCGTAACCGAAGCCCTACGGGATCTCCTGTATTTCAGACACCTCCTTCCTCACCCCCACTGTGGAGTAGCAGTCCAATTTCTTCTTGGTAATCACAACAAATCACTCCAGCGAGTAGAGCAACTCCTTTCTTTGCCTGTTGATTCAGAGGTAAGAAGAGCCCAACGTGGCCTGGTGGCAGCCTTAACTTCCAGTCCAGTGGAATCATTGTTTTATCTCCCAGAAGAAGCATTCTTCCCTTTGGGACAAAGGCCCAGAGACCAGCAGAGCATAAGGTCGTGGGGAAAGGAAACAGAAATTATGTTTATGCAGATCCAGTAAGATTCTAGAAGGCTGACGATCTATCTATTTCACTCCTAGAAACACCATGATCAACTAGCCAACACCACAGGTCTCTACAGGTCAGGCTCTTCTGCTTTGTGCTGTCCCTGAGAGCAACCACGCCCACTTTCCAGTTGACAATTAAGTGCCTTCCCTTGGCCCCTGCCACCCTGGGACCCAATCATCTCCATTGCACGCAGGATTCCCAACGCAGTGGCAGCAGCAGTTCCCACTGCCATTGCTGACTACAGAGAAGAGGGACCGCAGAGCTCTGCAAGGACGCTGGGGCTCCCGTCACGAACTCATTTCTCACAGTTGAAGTAAAAGGTGTGCCCTCTGGCCACTCCCAGGTTGGATAAGCAGATAATACATCTTAATCCTAACATCTGCTTTACTCAACATGTAATTAAATGGTAATCACATAAAAAATAACTTCACAGCAATATCTAGACTGATGTTGAACAAAGGAATCGGGCACTTTGCCTACCCAAGCTGACATATAAAATTACCTATGACTAGGCTGGGCGCAGTGGCTCACGCTTGTAATCCTAGCACTCTGAGAGGCTGAGGTAGGAGGATCGTTCAAGGTCAGGAGTTTGAAACCAGCCTGAGCAAGAATGAGACCCTGTCTCTACTAAAAATAGAAAGAAATTAGCTAGACATCTAGAAATATACAGAAAAAATTGGCTGGGCGTGGTGGCACATGCCTGTAGTCCTAGCTACTCGGGAGGCTGAGGCAGTAGGATCTCTGGAGCCCAAGAGATTGAGGTTGCTGTGAGCTAGGCTGACGCCACGGCACTCACTCTGGCCTGGGCAACAGAGTGAGACTCTGTCTCAAAAAAAAAAAAATTACCCATGACATATATTTAAATGAAAAGCAAATTCTTTATCAGTGTGAAATTAATACTCAATCTTACTTCCAAACGTAGCTTACTCTGATATATATTATGTGTCTGTATATATATTTATTTATTTATATGTCCCTTCTCCATCATTTTTGAAGCTGTCCAGGGTTGACCTTGAGGTTTGCCCCTGTTTGAAAGATTTCAAGCAGTACAGTGGTGTAAAGACGTATTTAGACCAAAACAAATCTTTATCCTTTCCCTACCCCTTCCTTTGAAAAACTGACTGGATTCAGATACAGTGGCACTATTTTCTAGCTCTATAACCTTAGGCAAGTTAGCTAAACTTGTGCCTTAGTTTTCCTATTAGAAAAATGGGTTCATAACACTATTTCTCTTTTATTGGGTCTTGGGAGGGTTCAAAGAACTACAATGATTAAACAGGGACCAATACAGACTAGCTGTTGTGTAACAGGAATATTGAAAGGTAAGTTACCACTTTTCTTGCTTTCTTATTTAATGCAGGGTCTGCACATCCCCTAAAATGATCCCTCTCTTGGGGGCAACTCACCTTTGCAGGCTGCTATCCTGGAGTGGTGTGGACAGGGTGGGCTGCAGGGGAGCCCTTGGAGGATTTTACACAAGGAGGACCCAGACAAAGGTTCCCACGCATGCCTTCAGGCGTGGAGAATGGACGGGAGAGAGGAAGAGCCCCGTGCCCTGTTGCTGTGTACAGGAAGAACCGGTAGAAGGACCACGGTGGGGATGGGGACAGGCGATGCAGGGCAGCAGGAGGCGGGTGCCACGGTCACATCCACCGCTTGTGTCCTGCACACCACTCCCTCGCTCCTTCCATCTAGGGACGTGGGCACCAGGCTGGGGTTGCACCCGGACTCAGGGAAAGGCTAAGGACACGGTGGGGGCTGGAGGTGGGGATATCGCCACCACTAGGGGCTGGGTTCCCCGAAGTCTCTGGGTGAGAGTGGCCGGTCATCTCGGGGAAATTGGGAAGGGCCGGCAGGACAGCAGGGACGCGGTGTACCTCCAGGAGCTAAGGCCCTCCCGCGTGAGCCAACCGGGCGGGCCCCACGGTGCACACTGTGCCAAGACCTTGGGGGCGCTGCGCCCGGCCCGCCCGCTGCGCACAGCCCGGCCCGGGACCGCGGGCGGCGCGGGGCGGGTGCAATGGGGGCGGGGCCTCTGCGCCCGGCACCTCCCCTGACCATAAAGGGAACTGCCGGCTCCTGGGCTCCACCGCGCCTTCCACCTGCACCACAGACCCTTCGCCTCGCGCTTGGGAACTGCAGCCTCCCTCACCTCGGCTCGAAATGGACCCCAACTGCTCCTGCGCCCCAGGTAAGGGACGCCGGGCTCTGCGCCTTGTGCCCATTGCCCAGCTGCAGGACAGCCTGTCTCTGGGTTTCACGAGGTCCCATTTTTAGCTCGAAACTGCAGTGGACCCCTTTACTTCACCCAGCGCTTTCCTCCTGGCCAGGCTAGGAGAGCACGTCCACCCCGCCCACGAGCCTCTCAGGAGCCGGGAGGACTGAGGCTCCAGGCTGACCTGCTCCGCGTCACCCAGTTGGTCCTGGCGCTGCCTCTGGGCCCCCGTTCGCCGTCCAGGCTCTGAGCAGGCAGGGTGGACGGAAGGCAGGGGACATTGGCTCCTCGGTCTTCCCGGGCTGTGTCTGCAGCCTGGGCCCTTCCTCGTGGGGCAATAGCAGGAGGCACTTGGTCTTCACAGCGTGGGCGGAGGCGAGATGGGGCTTCTCTTCCTCTGCCCCGAGAGGGAGAGGAGCCCTGGGGGCTGGCGCTGCACACAGGCGGGGCACTGACCAGTTGCTGCCCGACTGCTGTGCCTTGTGCCTCTCACCGATGGCTCACTGCCTGTCATTCTCTTCCTTGCAGGTGGCTCCTGCGCCTGCGCTGGCTCCTGCACGTGCAAAGAGTGCAGGTGCTCGTCCTGCAAGAAGAGTGAGTGGGGGGCCTTCCCCGGGAAGCTAAGGTTGGGAGGGAACCCATAGCGGATTCTGAGCGCAGTGCTTCCTCGAACTGGCCTTCCTTTTCCCTGTGGACTATGGCATTCTCGCTCCAGGCTTTCTGCTCTGGGCTCAGATAGGTCAGGAAAAACTTTTTCTTTTGAAACACAAAGCCCAAAGGCACTGCCTATTGTTCCAGAATAGAGCTGTGCCATCCTAAAAGAAGCTGGGGACAGAGCTGGTTTCAGGCCTGCAGTTGAGGCAGGAGGTGTCTGGTTAAATCTGCTCTGACCTCTCACTGTCCCCTTTCTTCCCCAGGCTGCTGCTCCTGCTGCCCCGCGGGCTGTGCCAAGTG